CCTCCAGCTATCTGGTTTAAAGAAGGGCAATAGTCATGAACAACACACTCACCTTTGAGGCTCTCAAAAAACCTCTGTGCAGAGCTAACAGGGAAAAAGTCCTCAGGTAAGTGGACTCAGACCCTTTGCTGTGGGGAGGGAAAGGCTCCAGTAACTGTAGCGGTAGACACACTGCGCGCCATTCAGAATTCACATGAAATAGAACCTTCGCCCCTGCAGGAGCCGCACATGCCCCCATGGGGGTCCTGAGCCAGCCAGGGGGGCCCCGATCAGCTGCACACCAAACTTCTTACCCCACCCACAGCTCAGCGCCCAGCACAGCCTCCTCTCCGTGCTGGCCGACAGTGTCACAGAGACACTTCTAAGGGGATCAAGTTTCCAGGGAATGGGAAGACCGGATGCCCAGAGTTAGACCTCACCTCAGAGCCTGCTGGACCTGAGCTGACTTTCGCGAGGAAAGCGGGAGGAGGGCTGGCGCCCTTCCAGACAGTAGCCGGTAGCCGCAGGCTCAAGCCCACATATTTGTCTAGCTCTTACATCACTCACACTGGCTCTACATTTCTAAAGCACCAAACAATAAAGGAGCTTAGTGGTTCACTAGTTCAGGCAGTTTAAATACTTAGAAACCCACTGAGAAATTAGGCAGGGACTTGCACAAGCACAAAGATAACTACTAAGAACAGAAAAGTAACCTGCATTTCTCTCAAGCCTCTCACAGGACGTTCATTACCACAAAGCCCTCCTGTGCACATCTACAGGCTAAGAGGGAGGACGCTGAAGACTTACCATAGGCCACATGGTAGACCAGACTGGCCCAGGACCGGCAGCTGCTCACCTTCCTGCCCGGGCAGCCGCAAGTGTGCCAGGCAGGCAGGCAGGCAGGCAGGCAGGCAGGCAGGCCAGGTATCGCCACGGCACCTAGATGACTCAGCCTGGACTTTGGTGATCTGCTGCTCTCGCTATCTCCGGGTATTCCCGTGTTTGTCTCGGAGAAACTCCACACCCCGGGCTGCGCCCCACACAGGGGCCCGCGATAACGTGCTGTCCTCGGCATGCAGTTGTATAATTGGATCTTT